ACTAATCTTTTCCTTGTATCCTGTTCTCTTCATTCTCCCTTGCTCCCGAAGGGGTGAGACCAGTGGAGTATCTTAGATGGCTGCTCAGAGGCTTTTAAGACCCCAGATGCTACTCACCAAGCTAGAATATAGAACATTGTCTTTATAAACTGTGTTATGCCAATTAAGCTAGATGTTCCCTGAGACCATGGTCCCCACAGCCCTCCACCCAGCAATTCAGTCCCTCAGGGAGTCTGGATGTGTCTATGGAGTTTCCATGACCTTTCCTTGTACAAGTTGTGCTGGCTTCCCCAGTACTGTGTACTTTCTTATCCTTCACCAAAGTTACCATTGTCTATTTAGTTCCCACCCCCATCCCTCGTAACCAACAAAGATTGTTTCTTTTTGTGTGAAAACTTTTACATGAGTTTTTACAGTAGAGGTCTCATACAATATTTGCCTTTAGTAATTGACTTATTTCACTCAGCATAATGTTCTCCAATTTCATCCATGTTATGAGATGCCTCCCATATTCATCATTGTTCTTTATCACTGCGTAATACTCCATTGTGTGTATGTACAATAGTTTATCCATTCATCTGTTGATGGGCATCTAGGTTATTTCCATCTTTTTAATATTGTGAGCAGTGCTGCAATGAACATGGGTGTGCATGTCTATTCAAGTGACAGCTCTTATTTCTCTAGGATATATTCCTAGGAATGAGATTGCTGGAACGTATACTATTTCTATTTCTAGCTTTCTAAGGAAGCGCCATATCATTTTCCAAAATGGTTGTATCATTTTGCATTCCCACCAGCAGTGCAAAGAGCTCCAATCACCCCGCAGCCTCTCCAACATTTGTTATTTCCAGTGTTTTTGATTCGTGCCAGTAATACTGGGGGGTGAGATGGTATCTCATTGCGGTTTTAATTTGCATTTCTCAAATGGCTAGTGATCGCGAGCATTTCCTCATGTGTCTGTTGGCTGCCTGAATGTCTTCTTTGGTGAAGTGTCTGTTCATTTCCTTTGTCCATTTTTTAATTGGATTACTTGTCTTTTTGTTGTAGAGGTGTTGGATCTTCTTGTAGATTTGAGAGATCAAACCTTTGTCTGACTTGTAATGTCCAAAAATTTTTTCCCAGTCTGTAGGTTTTCTTTCAGCTCTTTTGGTTAAGTCTTTTGATGAGCGTTTAAGTGTTTCATTTTTAGAAGATTCCAGTAATCTAGCTTACCTTCTGGGGTTTGTGTGGTGTTGGTTATGGTTTGTATCCTGTTAATGCCATGCATTAGGGCCTCTAGCATTGATCCTATTTTTTCTTCTGTGAACTTTATAGTTTTTGGTTTTATATTTAGGTCTTTGATCCAAATTGAATTAGTTTTTGTGTATGGTGTGAGGCATGGGTCCTGTTTCTTTTTTTTGCAGATGGATATCCAGTTTTGCCAGCACCATTTGTTAAAAAGACTATCTTTTCCCCATTTGATGGACTTTGGGCCCTTGTCAAAGATCAGGTGACCGTAGGTGGATGGAGTTACATCTGTGTTCTCAATTCTGTTCCACTGGTCGATGTATCTGTCGTTGTACCAGTACCAGGCTATTCTGACTACCATAGCTATATAATAGGTTCTGAAGTCAGGTAATGTGAGTCCTCCTACTTTATTCTTCTTCTTCAATAGAGCTTTACTTATCAGGGGCTTCTTCCCTTTCCATATAAAGTTAATGATTAGTTTGTCCATCTCTTCAAAGAATGTTGCTGGTATTTAAATTGGGATTGCATTGTATTTGTAAATTGCTTTAGGAAGAACTGTCAT